GGGCATGGTGATTTAAGTGCTTTTTCACTGAGGTGTGGACCCTTCTACCACGAGCTGGGCTGTGAATTCGTTCCTAGGGAACGAGGGATCAGAAAATAGCAGTGACATATTAACGGGGACACCAAATCAATCCCAGATGGCCTAAAATCGCCAGGCACCTGCACATTCTTTTCTGCGGCACTTCCTGCTTCTGCCTTAGGAGAAGGCATTCCTGAAAATGTTCACACGTGTCCGACTGGCAAACTTTGGGCTGATTTTAACAACAGGATTTGCCTCTCATACAGCCTTTAAAACTTTGAGTTAATCCTTTAAACAGAATTTAATTTCCAATTAAGCCATAATGATACATTTCTAATTTTAATCTGCACTTGTTTTGCTGCTTATTCGCTTCAGCAGGCTAAAGAGAGAGCTTTCTGAAGTGAGAAGCTTTAAATTTATAAGAAAGCTTCGTATGGAAATTGCAAACCAGCAACAGAACAGTTATCATGAAATCTTACTTCCTGTATTCATCAGATATCTTAGTGTTTTTTTAATTTTCTCAAAAGGACGCTACACCCTTTTATTATACTTATGGGAGTTAAATCTTCATGTGTAAAAAAGGGGTATTTTAAAAGAAACAGAGTGGGTTTTGATTCACTTAATTCTGGTGTCAGATTAGCTGTTTGGGAAGAATTTAGAGAAGGTGAAGTGTTCAATTTTAATAAATGCTTCCATTGATTCCCACCTGCATGCTTTTGGACACAGAGGAAATCTGTAGGAGAACTGGATATGCTTTTAGGGACATGTCCCCCTCTCCTTTTTTTTTTTTTCCTGTATAGTTTGAGTCTTTCTACACACACAGCTGTACATCCAGCAAACTAGCCCAGTTTAAATGGAAACAATGAGGTATTTCATACAAATGGATTCCCATAAAAGCTAATATCTGGAAGCTTTTTGCATCATTAGCTATTAGAGCAAGTCAGTAATTGTGTTAAATGCAATATTTTTGATTTCTTACCAAAACATTACGTGCCCAGCTCTGTTAGCTTGAGTAAGATCTTGTAATGTTACTCTGCTGTTAGCTGAGTTAGGAACGTTGCTGATTGCAAATTCCTAATTGCTGCATGGAAAGGTAACTGCTCCTTTCTTCTTTGCTGTAAAGGAGCTGATACTGCCTCGCAGAATGTTATTCTGTCACCTTTGCAGATATTATTTGTTGGTTTTAATATAATTTCAAATCTTTTGAACCCATAGTGTGTCTACTTCTTATTTGGGGAGCAACTTCAGCTGTGCTGGAAAACTGCTTATGCAAAAGTATTTTGTTTAATTGACAAAATAGCTCTAAATTGATTTTTGACTTAAAACTTCATTTTTTTTTTTTTTAGCAGAACAGAAATGCTGGTGGAGGGAAATTACAGAATCAGTTAGGACCTGTCATTTGGGAAACATTTTTTCTGAACGGGAATGCCAAGCAGAAATAAAATAGTTCAACAAGCAAAGGCTTTTTCCTTAGCAAAGGCTGTCTCAGGAAAGAACTGGAATATTTAGCAATAATTTTCAACTGTCAAGCAGTTATTATCTTGGCCGCATAATACATAGATGGAAAAGCTGTAGCATAAGTTCACTAAGTTCTCATGGTTCAAGAAATTAATATGTTTGGTAAACACTGAGTAATTCCTTATCGTACTTTACTATTGAAATTCATATAGATGGTGAGTTGTCTCCAATTGAATCTAACCCCAGGAGATAAAGCTGGAGTTGTCATGAGACTTCTTAAGATTTTAAGAGTAATCTGATTCTTTTCTATAAAGAAAAGGCTCCTTTTTTAATTTGTTTTGAATAAAACCCCACAGTCCCTTTCTTCAAGCCTAATCCCCCCAGATCCCAAATTGTGCAGTATACTGGATTTACCTCATAAGGTATCCTTATAGGAAAAGGAGGAAGCGTTCATTTTGGTCACAACCAATGTCGATTTCCATTTTCAGTGCCACTTTTCTTCATGAACAGGTCCCCTTAGTCAGACTCGAGACTCCTGAGTCGCCTCAGAGCCTAGCTGTGAGACCTGCAGGGGTTTTACCCATCCTCTGCTTTGAAAGCCTTGACAGGATTTTGCTCGAGATCTTGGGTCGGGGTGACGGTAAGGCCTAATTTCACAGTATTTAAAAGATTATTCCTTACCAGCTAAAAAGCTGATGGTGCAAGGAGCTCGGAGAGAGGCCTGCTCTGCTTGCTCTTGATCTGTGAGGCGGCTGTCGGCGGTCTCCTACACGCGGCGGGGCCCGGGGGCCGCTCGCCGTTCAGGGGCAGGAGGCTGACGAGAGGAAAAACGCGGATCCGTGCGCCGGGGCGATGATATACGATAGCAATAACGAGCGATGGCTTTCCTTGGTTTTGGCATGGATCTCCCCAAGTGTTTATTGAAGGGAGCGTTCGTGAAATTAATGATACACCAAAGCCATTTAACGAGCTCGTTTTCGAGTGCCGCTTCAGTTCGCGATCTCTTGTGTTTCCTCATTTCCACGTTTAACTGCAGTGGAAAGACAAATGGTCGTGACCTCCCTATTACATTATGCTTTGAGGTAGGTATATACGGGGGAAGGCTAAAACATTAAAAAAACATAAAGCAACCCCCCCCCAGGGTGTCTTATAGTAGGTTCTTTAAAAGAAACCAACACCTGTTGAAGTACTTACTTCAACATTTGGCACAAATCCCAAGCAAGCCTCTTTTTTTTTTTTTTTTTTTTAACAACAAAAACATATGTAGAGGCCAGGCAAAAAAGCACAGCTAGTTCTGATGTTGTGCTTTTAGTGATCTGCAGCTATGAGCTAGAGGGGCTGTGACTCATTAAGCGACACCAGCGCGGAGCGCTGCTCTAATTTCTCGTGGCGCTTCATTGTGTGTCAGAAGAAAGGCGGAGGGACCGTTTCTGGCTTTTTAGGTGGGATCTTTCTAAATCTGCAGGCTGAGGGGATTTATCCGTCCTTTTGTGAAGAAGAAAACATCAAATGCTTTGTAGCCGGTGCCTGGACAGTGAAGGCCTTTGAGGGTGCCCGTTGCAGTGAGGGGCCTCGTCTCCAAGAGCCATCTTGTAATATTTGGATTAACTCAGACCCACAGATAAAGTGAGAGCCTGTGTGCTTGGAAGTCAGTGTCTTCAAGGAGAGGCCCTGTGAATAAAGGCTATTTGAGGTTTTTGTAGCGCTGGTTTTGTGTGTGCAGCCCTCCTCAGGGCAATCTCGATTCCTCAACAGGGACGTCGCCATGTCCCAGCGGCCCAGTCCCTTTGCTCTGTCCTCTCTTGGTGGCACTGCTGCGTGTGGTGGCATCTTCCCTGTCAGCACTGCTCAGCATTGCTGCTCTTCCTATTTCTCTTTGCTCCTTTTTGCTGTTCCTACATTTTTGCTCCTTTACCAGAGGACTCCGCTGAGATCGCGTTGTCAACACAAGAAGTGCTCTCTCTTCTTCACCATGCTGGAAACATCTCTGCTTAACCTCAGAGTCTTTGTGGTAAAGCTGTAGAGGCAGGGCCACTTGTTTCCATCCTGCCACTTCCTTTGCTTCAAGAAAGTGTAGAGAAAAAACCCGTGTAAACATCCAGTTTGGGGGATGCCGCATTTTCTAGTATTTTTCTGAACTTTGCTCTTCAAAACTCTGGCGTTGCAAGGCAAAGGCTTTAGGATCTATTTGAATGAAACTAAACCAGATTTGTTGATGTACACACCACAGTGCCTTAGCAACCGACCTGCATCTAGGCCAAGAGCTGAACATTTAGTCTTTAAACAATCCTTTGCTACCAATCTAGGAATGTTCTTGCATTTCAGAGTGCAAAACGAGCCAGTTGACATCTAGCGAGGAACAACATACATTATAAAATACGTACTCCTCCACAGTGGGAGGAGAGGGACTTATGTAAGCTCATTTCTTTGCTACTTTAATTGTAGTTTCTTGAGGCCTTGAGATGCATCCCTGGGAGTGGGATTGTTGTGTTCAGATGATTCCAGATTCTCCTTTATCGCTGCAAAATACAGCTTTGGTGGCAGCACGGTGTCTTGAGTTGGGAGCGTCGCAGAGTTTAATGAGAAACGATTTTAAATCTGGTACTAAGACTAAAAAATTGAGAAAAATCAATAGCTAACAGTATAATCAAAAATCCTAGCTCTTCTTAATGAGCTGTTGAGGCAGTAGAGTCTTGTGAAAGAGATGACAATGACAAGTCCTACTTCTAGTGGAAAAGAATCAACTTCCTCTCGTTTGCTTTTTTATACAACTACAGGGAAAACATCCTCAAATGTTTTAGCAGGGAGGTGTCATTCGGAGCTGAAGGGCGATACCTAGCATTTATTGAAACTTTGCTGGCTGTCACATTTATTCTCATGTGTACTTGTTCAGAAAGGAATTCCTTGCTGTTTTCTTGTTTGTTTGCTTTTTTTTTCTTCTTGAAAACCTGTATTGCTGCCCTTTCCAAAGGGCTTTTCCTAAGGCAAGAAACAAGAACATTTATCCAGTGGTGGAAAGCTACAGCTTGCTGCAGACATCTGTTAGCTAGATTGCTTAAAAAAATAAATAAAGGTGAATGTTTGGTAAAAGAATATATTCAATATGCTAAACTGAGATGACTTCCTTAGGTGTATATTGTACGTGTGACCAGCTGGTTAATTTTGATATTAGAATTACAGTTGGGCTGACATGGGTTTTTAATGTCCCAGTTTTCAGAATAGCAGGTGACATAAGAACCATGTGCTTTCACGTGGTTGTTATTTGATGGAAATTGAATGTGATTACTGACTATAAAGTTGATTTTTTCTACCATCCCTTTACACTATCACACAAGACTTAATGTGGCAGGTTGCCAGCCATACTTTGTGCAGAAGATTGACATCTACTCACAGAAGTTAAAGTCATGCTGTTTATGGATGGTATCCGTTCTCAACGATAACTGACACGGTGAATAATTGAGTTAGTTAAAACTGCTGAAAAACACCTGTGTTGCCCTTACACTTTCCTCCTTGTTTTCTTTCAGTTACAGCTGCAGAAAACCCAATATTTGCAACTGGGACAGAGTCGTGGCCAGTACTACGGTGGGTCTCTGCCAAATGTGAATCAGATTGGAAACAGTGCCATGGATCTGCCCTTCCAGGTGAGTTTGATTAGGGTGTTTCTTTCTGTTAATGCTATTTTTTCCCTCCCAGGAGACCATGAAATAGCTGCCAGTTCAGAACATAACACCGTGGCCTCAGCAGACCACCGTGTTTTAAAAATTTTTTGCTCTTTTGTAATGGAACATGGTTGTGTATGGGATGAGTGTGTATTTTGGTATCGTATAGATTTACTGTTAGCTTATAGTTCTCTTGTCCTTGGTTGTGATGCTTTTGTGTCAAGACTAAGCAAGGGCAATGCAATTTCTTTGCCAGTGTTTACTCATGGCAAGCTTGGTTGTTGGTGGTTTTTTGTTTTTTGGTGTTTTTTTTTTTTTTTTTGGTACCAGATTCATAATGAAATCTTCTGCGAAGATGCTGTAAACTCAAAGCAAAACTGGAAGTAAATAACTCAGGGTGATGTAGAAAGTGCTGGTAGGTGGAAGTGTTGAAGATGACAGCCAAGGTGTATGTTCCATGGAAATAACGTGTGGATTTTTAAGGGAGGAAGAAGGAGCTTGGGATGGAAAATAAACAGCTTTCAGAATAGTCCCTTTTCTTTGGTCTGGCTGAAAAGTAAATGCAGGGGTCTACTAGCAGTAATTGTGACTCCAGTGGTGATGCACTCTGAACAGAAAACGAACATTTTATACAAGTGTTTTGTTCCATGTAAGCACGTTGGACAGAAGATATCGTGTAGTGGATAGGATTAGATGTTGGATACTTCTGTGACTCTTGATTTTTATGTTTAGTCGATGTAGGGTGTGCAAAGTAATTAAAACTTCTGTATTATTTTTCCTCGTTTGAGTAGTAACACATTTTATCTTGTGAGGATGTGGTAAAAATTAAATTTCTCAGTTTGTGGTTTTCTGTTGAAGGCTGGCTTAATAAATACAGAGAAACTATTGATGACGACTTCTAACTGTGCTTTTTGACATACATGTGGGCAGCTGAATTTGTGGTTCCTCTTAGGACTTTGAATCTTGTACAAAAGGAGAAGCAAATGGCTGTTTTAATTCAATTGTTTTCAGAGAGTACAATGCAGAGGGTCACAATGTTTTGAAGCCTTTAGTATTACTTCATAGGCATTTGGACTTCTCAAGATCCGCAGATTTTGTCTTTTTCTGGTAAGGGGGTTCATAGTCACTGTTCTCTTTAATAGTATTTCAGTATTTTTGTGCTCGATGGCCATTGCTCACAGCTACTCTATAGTGAGTCTTTTGGTCCTAAAGCTAACAAGGTGCTCAAAAGTGAGTATTCAAAAATTTGTGAATGACTACAGGAGGGTACAGAAACAAATTGTCCTTAAACTCCAGGTTTTTATGTGTTCTTTCACACACAAAAAAATATAAAAATCCAATGTTGGTACTGTTACAGATAACAAATGGTGACAAGCAACAAAAAAAAAACATGTCTTTGTGTCAGTGATGAATGCTTTCCAGATTTTTCAAGTTTAAGCTAAATAATGATGAAATTGCCAAAAAGATACTTGCATGATGTGTCGAGCAGGTGAAGCCTGTGTGGATGTGAGCGGGTTAGTATCTGAGCATCTTGGTTCTTTGCATTTACAGCACAACGGAGCTCTGGCAGAAGCCTTTGGAGCAGTTCCTGTCTCTTTGGTAAACAAGTATTTAGGTTTGTGCAAATACGTATTTAGGACTGGTGTACTGTTTGCCCAGGTAGATACGTATTTTAGCACACGTTACACTTTTTCTGGTATGCACAGTATTTATCTGATTCACCGTCCCAGCTCCGAAGGAGTTATGGTCTGTCACATAAATACAGGTTTTGCCATGCATCCCGGTTTGGAACATGCATAATAATTCCTGTACAGACTCTCCGGACTTGCTGTGGTCTGTCATGTGATTACTTATGATTTATGGGGGATTAATTTGTTGCAGACGGTGGTTTATTTGGCACTGTCTTGGCCTGTGATTTAAGCAATCTCTGAGCATGTGCACTCAGCCTGCATGTTAAACTCCATTGGGAAAGGAAGAATGATTACCCAAATGCTGCTTGTCACCAAGGGGCACCGAAATGTAAGCTGTTAGTGGGTACCTCTCCTCACTTTCCCCCCTCATCTACCTTGCTTGTTTTTATTTCTTAAGTCAATGCCTTGATAAATCTTAAAGGGACACGGTTGCTTTAGAGCACTGAGCTTTTTCCTTCCCATCTGTGAGTATTTAGTTTGTTTTTTCCTTTTTTTCACGTTTTGTGGAGTTTTGGTTCTGATCTCAAATCCTTGAATATTTTTCAGGAAGTGAAACGGTTCTAGTTCTTCATTTTCCAAATAACATTGATGCTCAGATCTGTTGTTTGTTCTTTTGCCTTTTTTTTTTTTTTTTTTTAACAGAATTGTTTGCTACAGCTATGTACCATGTGCCCTGCAGGGGTGGGCTTATTTAACAAAGACACATTGTCTGGTGTTTGGTCCAGAGTAAGTTTTGTGTGTTGGTTGCTGAGAGAAACCAGAACTGTTGGGGCTGATACCTGTTTTCTCAGGTGTTTGTAGTCTCTTCTGATTTTTTTTTTCCAAGCAATTTAGGGATTCATCTGAGATTTATTTTTTTTTTTTCCTGGAAAGCCAGAGAACAACATTTCCCAAAAGTTCTCCTCTGTGTTAATTGTAGCCCTGTCTCTGGCAGGGCATGGTCCATGTTTACTTGTGCCACCTTTACACTCAGATCAGATTTTTTTTGAGTTTTTACATGCAAGTTGTGCCATAAAACTTAAGAAATAGCAATCTTTGGATTCAACTTCATCTGTATACTAATGTACATTGGGTTCCTTTAAAATTCCAGGTGAGGTCTGCATTTGGTGTTCTACTGAGTGGCTTTTCCTTTTTTTTTTTTAATGTTGTGACTGGGACCATGACATGGGAAATGGCTTCTCCTGTTGGTGTTCCAAGCACACGTGTATTAATTTGCAAATTTTGCAGACTTCTGGGATAGAATCAGTGTGACAACAGTACAAAGAAGAATTTCAGACTTTTTTTTTTCGCTTGGAATTATGAATATTTTTAGTTCTGTGTGGTGTCAGTTAAATAGAACTAGGTTGTTGTTTAGTACTTGTAGCAGAGATTAAACCAACATGTTTTAATTTAGATTACCTAAAATTGAGATGCTCTGACTGGAGGTCTCCAAGTCTTCGAGCAAAAGAACTCATGCTTGCTGAAGCAGAACACCGTGATCCTAACAGCAGGAACACAGTAAAAAGTCACTGTGCTCTCCTGCTAGTGACATGTTGACTAAAGCAATATTCTGCTGCATATAAAGTGTTGGCCCTTAAGCAAGAAAATAAACACCACAGCCACTTTGCACCCATTTATGCTAACACAGATTGGGTATGCATAGAGAGAAAAGAAGCTAACGTTAGCTTAAAAAAAAAAAAAAGGAAAGTCAAGAGGTGCTATAAGGAGTTATTACAAACAAAAGACTTCAAGCTTAATGCCAAATTTCTTTTTAGAAAAGATCATTTAAAATAACCAAAGCTGGACACTTTACATTTTTTTTTAATGTGGAAGCCAGATGGCTTCATGGCTTGGCAGACAGGACAGTGCATTTGCCACGTGCAGCACCTGAATGGAGGAGGAAATTTTGGATTTCCAAGCAGATGGTGTTGAGGGACTCAGCAAAGCTGTTCACATTGGCAAGGAGTGGAAGGCTGTGTAGCTTTTCTCCCTCGAGGCCCATATATTGCTGTTGAAGTGTGTGTAGAGGCTGACCATTCGGTACTTCCTTTTTCCCCCCTGCAGGTATGCTCTGGGAAGGGCTTTTGAAAATGTAGACGTTTTCCAGATTAGCGTGGGAATTCATCTTTGTGCTTTCCGTGGCATCCTTGTTCTCTGAAATGGGTTGCTGACAAGGAAACACTCTCAAGACATAGGTGCTGATAAGATTGAGAGGGAATTGATCCACCTCAGTTTACTGCACAACTTAACCAAAATAAAAACCACAAAAATACCCAATGCTCTAACTTTTTCCAGACAGAAGAGGAAGGAAACTGCTTTTCTTTCTTTCTTTCTTTTTTTTTTTTCCCCCCTGAATTTTGTCAGTGTCCCCTTAAAATCATGGTGCTGAAAGGAGGGGTGAGAGAAAGCGGCGTGTTCCTTAAAAGCTTCAGGTGACTGTTAGGAGCTCTGTGCATCTCTTCCTGCATCTCCTGCCCTTGTAGTTCAAGCTCTGGTTGTCAGCATGTTCCTTCTGGATGCATGCTGCATGCTACACCAAGGGAATGTAAACAGCAGTTGTCAGTAGGCTCCCTGTCACAATCACTGCTGGGATTTCAGAGATACAAAGGTTGGAGAGCCGTGCTGATTTATGAGGGGCAGATCTAGCGCAGTCTGCCTCCACTTGTCTCTAATCTCTGTCTGGAAGAGATAGCCTTGGTAATTGCTTTCCATGGCTGTAGTGAAAATGGAGAAAAAATGTGCGTGGTTCCGTTTGTCCGTGTCTTTCCTGGGTTTTATTGCTTAAAATATTAGAAGCTTTAATACAACATAAGTAAGTTTTGGCAGACGGCTCGTGCGTGTATTTTTCTGCTTGTGACTTTATGCGTGTCTCTCAGACTCCCTTTCAGTCATCTGGGTTGGACACAAGCAGGACAACTCGGCATCACGGGCTGGTGGACAGAGTGTACCGGGACAGAAATCGCCTGGGATCCCCACACCGACGCCCTCTCTCTGTGGATAAGCATGGAAGACAAATATCCTTTGGCTGACGAGCTAGCAATGAAAACCTCCCTTTTCACCAACATCGTATTTCTCAGTTCTTACAGTTCTCTTGTTCCTCCTCTCCTCACCTGTCAGCAGAGTTGCTTCCCATCTCTGAGCAGTTAATGTCATCTGCTTTTTCTAAACGGTGATCCAGTCTAAAAATACCACAGAATCACAGAATCTACTATTCTGTAAAATAAGCATTTACCTTTCTGTTTGCTCAGCTCTAGCTGGGGATAACAATACACACGAAGCTGAGAGGGACTGAGATCCTTTGATGGAAAAGACAAGGCAGTATTTGTGGAACTGACTTTCCTTTCAAAACTGAGTAAATCCAAACCTGAATAATTCCTTGCGGTTCATTGTGCGTTTCATTACAAGTTGATTCATAAGTTTAACATCTGCTGAGCACCATTTCTTCTTGCTTTTTGTGAAAATGAGTTAGCTTATTTTTGCTGACTGGCTTGAAACGTGCCACAGCCACACTGACTTGAAGGGGCTAAAGGGAATATGTAAGTGGGAGAACGGAGAGGCGATGGCTTCTCAGGAAGAGTTAAACATTTAGAAAGGGAAAAAGAGGATGGTTGTCCCGTTGCTTAAACATTACAACAAGCAAGATAATATTTTGATTTGATTGTCCTTGTTAAACTTGGTATGTTCCCCATAGGGAGTCTGCTTTGCCTTTCTTGTGTGAGCTTAGTGGTTTTGACAGGGCAATTTGAATTATTCCTTAGGAGAAGATTTCAAATAGACTTGTTGCTTGAGTAAGAAGTGGTGTTCTTCCCCTTAACCGACTGAATCACGTAGACAGCTGTCCATACGGCACTGTGTACCTGTCACCTCCATCGGATACAAGCTGGAGAAGGTTAGTAGCACAATGGTGTACCTGTGTGTTAGTATTTGGGCTGGGTTCTCTGATACTGCAACACGTTGATGTGCAAAAAAGGCCTTTGTTGTTCCCCACATCAGTTGGTCATATGAATCTCCGTGACTTAACTGAATTTAGAGTTTTTTTCTTCTATCATGCTTATTCATTTAGATGGCCAGCCTTTAAACTCAAGGTGTCAGCCAGTGTGATATTTTTAAAGGTAAATCTTTCCAGATGTTGTAAGGCGTATCCTGAAATTATGAAGTTGTAAAAGACTCAGCTTTCTCTCAGTGCTCAGGGACTGGTCTGCCAATGCAAGCATTTGAATGGAAAGGAGCACTGAGTTGCCTGTTCCTACTCCTTATGCTCCTGGCCCTGGAGGAGCAAAGTGGTGGCCTGCATTCACAAGGGAAGGACAGTTTGTGATGTGAGAGGTGTTGGCCATGGAGGTTCCTGTTTCCACAACACATGTGCATCCTCAAACCAGTCCTTTCCCCTCTGTTTATAGCAGGAATACTTTATTTTCAAAGACTAGTATAACTAGAGGATCTATAAGCAGCTTTCAGCTTAAACTGCATTATTTGATCATGCACAATCTTAACAAAGCATATCAAATTATTTTCTAACTATGGTAAACAGTTTTTCCTGTATCCCTCTCAATCCCATTATTGAAACAATTACTCTTCAAACTTGAACTAATTCTGTTGTGTTCTGTGAATTGATTGTTTCACAAAGAAATTATGCCTGGTGTATGCCAAATATAGATTTTGGTTTTTTAATGCGGAGTGAATGCAGGTTTTCCTGAGTTGGTTGCAATTATATGAGATTAAGCATTCTTTCATTTAGAGGAGCTGACAATAAAAATAATTTGTTTTGCCTTCTTTCCAGGACGAATTCTGATTCTGCCTTGCACCAGAGTACTATGACTCCAGCTCAACAAGAATCCTTTTCAGGAGGGTCCCAGGACATGCAGCAGAAAAGAGGTAACAGAGAAAACCACTAAAAAGAAATGTTTGTTGTACTAGAAGCATTGTACTTCAGATTATATGCATGTGTATTGGTGTTCATCTATTGCTACATGTTACTTGTATGCATAACATTTTCTAGATTTGGTTAAAGAACAATTTGAACAAAGGACCTCATTTACTCTTCTGTATACTGAAGTCCAGAAGAGCTTAGACAAAGCCAAGATAGAGCATTTCCCTGAACTCCATATCCAGTAGTTCTATGAACTTGTCCTGTGGGGAAAAGTAATCTGGACTTGTGGAATGCTGGTGGTTAGATGGCTTTCAGGGGTGCTAGAGGTTTCCAGTAGCTTGTAGACAAGTTAGAGACCCCCTGGCATTTCACGTAGGTTACTGAGCAGCTGTTAACAGGCTGCTGGGTCCTGAGTGCCATAGCGAGTTTTATCACCCCAGTGGAGAAAATTGCTGTAATAGGTGTTTCTTTTGGACATGGGTATTAATTTGTCAATTTTACACTAATGACTTGAGGAATTTCACATTGTTAACTTCATTAAGTACTAGCTATCAAAAATTAAATTCTGGAAATTGATTCTGCATTGAAATATTAAAGGTGGCTAGTTTTTTTCCTGGCAAGTTAATCTGATATATATCTGATTTTCCATCTGAGACCAAAGTTTTGATATGCAAAACTGTAAATCTGTCACAAAACCTTGAGAGTTTTATGTAATTTTTCATATGCAGTTGCTTAACAGGATATATTGACTCTGTGATAGAACTTAAATCTTGAAGTGCGTGCACGCTGAAGACCAGAAGCAAATTCAAAATATCTTGACTTTTTCACCTAGAGACCTGTTATTTGAGCTGGCTTTCAGAATATGTATTTTTCTGAATAAGCGTCTCACATAAACACTGTGACAAGCAACAAAAACAATGGCATATAATTAAGATACAGTATCATGAAGTAGCAAGACTTCATCTAGTTTTTATGGGATTGAGACCCCTGGTTAATATGCCCTCAGTGGCTATGTTTACAAATGATACTCTCTAATAATATTTCCAGTTACAAGCTAGGAGCAGCACAGCCCTCAGGCACTAACAATTCTGGTGCCCTCTGCTGGCCCTAGTTTCTGCTGTCAGTTCAAGAAATACATTAAAAGCTCCTAAATCTGTCTTAGAGAATTTATTCCTTGAACAACACCCCAGAGACAGGTGGATGCACATCGCGTGGATGCCTGTGCACTGTACTGCAGCTCTCCCAAATAATGCTTCTAGTGCTGTAAAGCATTAAATAGCAGCCATCCCATAGTGTATGATTAAATTAATATTTAAGCGGATTGCCTTGAACAAGACACTTGGAATGTGGAAAACTAACAACTTTATAGTGTTTCTCTGTCCCAGGGAATACGGTTTGGGTTTTACCCCCCCAGAGTTGTCCCATTGGCCACCTGTTAGATGTAACAGGTGTATAGCACCTCTGTAAAATGTGAAGGGTAGGAAAAACTAGGTACCAGCATACATTTTTCCATTTAGATGTAAATGGATGAAATTGGACACCAAAAATTTTAAAAGTACTGAAGAATATCTGTGTGTTTTCCTTTTTTTGTTCTAACTGCAGTTTGAAAGTTCCTTGAATGTAAGACAAATCACATACCCACTTTTTAAAATCTTGTTCTGCTTGTAGCTAACTTTTTTTTGACACTGGGAACTTCTCCATGTTCATACAATATTATCTTAGTGTGTTTTGGTGTTTGCTTTTTTAATTTTGATGATCTCAAAACAGTAGAGTACCACCCCATGCTGATTAATAACAAGAGTTTTGAAAATAGTTAAACTCCTAATCTGAAAATGTATTTCTGAGAAGCATCCTTTTGTTATCGTTTTTTTTAGTTTTATTGCTGACTGTCCCTGGAATGGAGGAAACCACCTCTGAGGCAGACAAAACCCTTTCTAAACAAGGATGGGACACTAAAAAGGTGGGAGTCTCACATTTCAAAGTGAAGAGGTTTCATTTTCAAAACATGTTTAGGTAAACTAATGCTCCAAATATTGTCAACCAAAACAAACTACTTCCAGAGCTCAGAGATGAAATGCTATATTTAGCAACATATCATTAAACATTAGATCAGAAAGGCACTTAATATGTATTTTATTTGATTATATCAGGAGAAACTCTTTAAATTTGGGGCTTGTTGGGCCAGTCATTAAAGGAAACAAAGATGACCAGCCTTATCTAAGACCTTCACAGAGCTCTTGTGTAGAAAAATAGCTCTAGAAATGCAATAAAATTTTCTGAATAAAATACCGTAAGCAGTAATTTCAAATATCTTTGCTTATAAACATTTCTTCCTTCTGTTTTAGACTGGGTCATCAAGACCTAAATCATGTGAAGTTCCAGGAATCAAGTAAGTTTTGAGCATCTTTTAAAAGAGCATTGAGATCTTTAAGAAAGTACATTGTACATTGAATTTCTTCTTGAGTAGATGCAAGATAAGCCAAAACTAGTGTTAGTGTCCCCTTGTCTGTTACAAGTTGGTTTATCAAAAATACCATATATCTTTCTGTATATGGCCACCTCCCTTTTTTGAAAATGGTTTTGTACAGATCTGTCCAGGCTGAAATTTAAACTCAGTTTTCTTTTTTCCTCTCTCCTTTATTTAGCATCTTTCCATCAGCTGACCAGGAAAACACTACAACGCTGATTCCTGCTACGCATAACACGGGTGGCTCCCTTCCAGACCTGACAAACATCCATTTCCCTTCCCCTCTCCCAACACCGTTAGATCCTGAGGAATCCACATTCCCAGCCCTGAGTAGCTCCAATAGTACCGGAAATCTTGCTGCCAATCTGACTCACTTGGGCATCAGCACTGCCAGTCAGGGTAAGATCACAATTCTGCACCGTTTTAACAGATTGTCCATAATATGTCACTTGTCTTACAGCATGGAAGTCGCGTTGCTGAATAATACTGTTTTGTCTGAGGGGTAATTCTACTTCTGTTCACTGACTTTCCTTTGTAAACAAGGTTTTCTTAAAGCCATTTCTGTATGACAAAGTGATAGAGCTGTATTTAGTTTTGACTTACAAATATCCTTACATTTTTTTCAAGTTCTTCATGCCCAAGTCTGTTTTTTTGTTGTTTGTATATAACTTTATAGGACAGACTATAGCATCCAAAATGTGCCTCCCTTGTAATTCATTGTACTTAATCCCAACAGCATTTGAATTGTGGAAATACCCTAAGTAGGCCTTTGTTTGCATTCCTTTAGAATATATTTTTTTTCCAAATAAGGATTCTTTTGGAGAAATAGCATTGCTTGCTTCACCTGAAGCAGATTTTGTCTTTTGAGCAGTCAAAATAACATGGAGAATTTACAAGGTTTGCTAGTTTTAGTAAGCTTGGTTGCCTGATTTTTGAAAATATCCGGAGTAGTCAGGATTCATGATATAGAAGGGCTTTGGGAAGCAATACCAAGTGCACACTTCACTCTCACTATGGTGCCTTTGTGTTGAAATCGTTGCCTTTTGAGCGTAGTTTTTGTTGCAAGTACTTGCAAAATGCTGCTGCTGTTTGAGCTGTTCAGCATGAGTCTGAGCTTTGTTGGGGCTTTTGCACTTTGGCAATACTGATAGTTTTATTAAAAAAAAAAAAAAGCCACGCTGGCAGTTTATAATGTTCATACTGATCAACTGATAATTTCAACTTAAGCAAATGGCCTAAACTAATGATTGTTATTTTTTTTTAATAGTTTCTCTAGGTCCTACTTGTGAGCACAGGGTTGCGTTTTATTGTCAGTGACAATTGCAGCCGGTTGATTCCTAGAACAGAAGAAAAGTGCTCTATCCAAAAATAGAAATGTATTTCCTGTGTTAGGCAGGATTCATTTACCCACTTAAAAATCCTCTCATATATTGGTAAAAAGGAAATAATTCTAATCAGGTTAATGTAGTGTTATGGCTGAGCAGTTACATTTAAGAAGGAAGCAAGAATACAGTTTACCCCTCTAAGTAGAGAGGAAATCAGCAGCTTTTGGCACCCTTCAGAAAGCTTTCTGGTCTCAAAACAGACTACACAAAGTTTCAGGGATGGGCTCTCATTCAAGTAGAACGTAGCAAGGCTTTGTTAAGATAGGTGGTGTGTATATAAAAAGAAACAAACTACTTCCATGGAGTTAGGCCAGGCTGGGTTGCTAAATTTTTTGCACTACCCGTAATTAGCAGAGTAAATGGTATAAAACCAAACCAGTAGGTATGTAATTGCTTTGAAAACATTTTCTGATCCATGAAAGATACTACAAATGAGAGAGGTGCATTCATTGATGATTTTGCTGCTGCTTGTTGGAGACTCTCCCATAGTTTAAGCAATGGCGTAGTCAGTGTTTTGGCTTTTTTTAACTGATATTCTCAAACCTTCCTTTCCTTTCTTTATCTCCTAGATCTTGAACGGAAAATGTAAACACTTCTGAGCCTTTTGTAGGAGCTCTGTGCATTGTGCAGACATGCCTGTAGCAGCCCCAAGTAAAGGTGGGGAAAAACACCTGTCAGGTTATGAAGAACTGCCAACAACTTAGGCTACACATTTGTGCATTTGAGGTTGTCAGTTCGCTGACATGTTCCATGAGACAGTGTTGATTTTTGAAAACATCGTGCGGGAAGCCAGGCAGTCTTCAGAATCTGCTCAGTTAGAGCCAGTTTGCCTGCTGGCTCCTTGGCAGCCCGGACTTCCTGGCTCCCTGGCAGCCTGCCTGGAAGCCTTGAGCAGGTGCCAAGTGCTGAGGAGCTCTCAGGCTCTTGTGAATTCCTCCTTTCTGGCAGCTCTGGAAGAACAGCTCACTAGAGAGATTGTCCTGAAATTGCTTTCCAGGGTGTCTCAGTTCCTCTAGGGTGAGGCAGAAAACAGGAGAGGTTTCAAAGCTTGCAGGTTTTGTCTTGAATGTGAGTAAAGCTAAATTACTTTGTAGTCTGTCCCTAGCCTCTGCTAGGTCAGGGCTCTTTAGAGTGCGAGGGATATTTCCTGCCTTCCTGTGCTCTGCTATGCCATTAAAATGGAGTACGTCCTGTGTAACCAGTTTTTCTTCTGCATTTTCCATTAAATAGATGTTTGCTTTTTATAATAACACAAGTGCCTTCTGATTAGTCTTGTTACATGATCTGTTATCTTCTTCCTGAGGTTTCAGCTCTTACAAATAGAGGAGAACATGCTGCTCTTGGACTCTTTGTGTGTGCAGCCCAGGGGTGTGCGAGAACGGTGCCTATTGTTTCCATAAACCACTGGGGAAGCACAGTGCTGCTGGAGCTGGTCTGCTTATTTCAATTCCCAGTCAGTATCTGTGCACCGTCCTGCACAACTGTGACGGGTTTAGGTCCAGGATAAACAACCACAGGGATCTTCCTTTCTTCCTGATGCTGTTTAACCTGACAAAGTTGCAAATTAGCTAATGAATTTCAGCCTGATTGGCCTAGGCACATTCACCACTTTGCGTCGTCAAATTATGCTGTACATTTTTGACAGATCAGGCAATTACCTCTGTACCAGTATCAATGAACTGTTGCTCCGTTCCCATTTGAGCTCGTTTGTTCCTCACTGGCAGGAATGACGACGACGCCAGCCCCTTCCCAGCAGCACCGTCAGCCCACCGTCAGCCCTCTCTCATTGAGCGCAGACTCGAGGCGACCACAGTCACAGCAAATGTCTCCTACGCTTTCCCCTTTGTCACCAATTACTCAGGTAGGACCTCGCTTGGAGAATTACAATTTTTGGTCACAGATGAATTGTTTTACCCTACCTGGGGGAGGGAAATGACTGTAACTTCGTCTTTCTTGTTCTGTAATCTTTAAATGTGTTTGTTAATCTGTACCTTAAAAAGTGAGAGGTTTGTAGAGGACACAGATTTTATTTTGACTTTTCTAAATCCTTGGTAAACATCAAGACACTTTTCTTTTGAAGACATTGTCCATGAAATTTGGAAGACATTTCTCTAATCCATATAAGAAGCACAGTTAGTTTTTAAAATTGATTTCATAAGTACAATTCCACAACTGAGTAGGTTATCAATTCCTCATCTGGACATTCAATTGGGTTTTTGTTTATTGTACCCTGAAGGTGATATTAAGTCCCTTGAAACGTATTCTTGAGTGTCTTTAAACCTTTAGTTAACATTTAAAAATGCAAGATTGACTTAGTGTGGATCACTTGATGTGAAACTTGACATGCTTGGGGAGTCACCTGCCAGTGTGGATGATTTTAATTTTTCTTTTTAAGGCCGTGGCAATGGATGCGTTGTCTCTGGAACAGCAGCTTCCCCCATATCCGTTTTTTACCCAGACAACTTCCCAGCAACAGCAGCAGACCCAGGTGGCAAGTACCCTGCCTCAGAATACTCCTTTAATGCAGACCTCTGGTTTACAGCGAGGAACACAACTCCCCCCACTCTCCGTCACGGTACCTTCTACCATCCCGCAGTCACCTCCGGGTAGCCAGACCCAACCATCAATGGGAATAGACATCAACTCGGTAAGCTGGGGCAGAGCTGAAAAAGATAAAGCTTTCATTTTGAAAACGTAGCATCAGGGTTCAAGCTGGACAGCCCTTGTGATAGGTATACTTCTAGGTGGAGTCTGAAGTAGAATGGTTTTGATTTAATCCATCTTCAAATGCTTTACAGACAGAATTTGGTTTTCGGGTGTGCTTACGGTGGCCGTAGTTTCATAAAATGGTGTCACTTGTGACTTCATGTTTAATTAGAGCAGCCTGAATCCTGGCTATCAGCATTTATTTCACACCTTGCTGCTGTTGCATTGATACTTTTTCAGGCTGTTAAATGTAATGCACCACCAAAGTGCTGTAGGCTCAAGGAGTTAGCAGAACTTTGATCAAGAAACCTGCTAACAAGCAGTTTCCCGAAGTTGGAGAGAGCCAGGCACCTTCTATATTTAGAAAGCTTTCATTTAAAGGATTTATAGAGCATCATACATTATTATCCCCCAAAATTGGATTTGTAGCTGCTTTCAGATCCTGATAAGAAGTGGAGTATATACCTACATAGTAGTGATGATTTCTGGGCAGATTTCTTTTTGTGCTGGTTGTGCCATGGTTTGTTGTGAAATGTTCTCTCTCTCTCTGCATATAAAGGTCCAGAATAGAGAGCGAGATCAGGGTAACAAGTTAGCTGGGGAAGAATTTCACAGCTCCTTCTCTGGTCATTCTGCCCCTGCTCTATCAGATCTCGGTTGCCTGACCTGTAGTGTCCTCCTGGCAGTGTTATAATGACAGTGACTGGTTAGATAATAGGCAGAACTCATTCTTTATTGATCTAGCACTAGACCATGGATTTCATTTGTGGATGAAATTTTAATGATTTGTGCTGGTAAGTGCTTCTTGAAGGAAGCTGCTTCCCTTTCAGGATTAGAAGGGGAAGAAGAAGGCCAATTCCAGCAGTGGAAAGGATACCGAGCTACTCAAAATGTGTCCAAATGTGTTGATTCTAACACTTAGGTAGCTACCAGTACAGATGATTTTCATTCTTTGCTTTCTGTGTTGCTTTCCTCATCCTAAACTTCTTTATCACCTTAACTTTTAGGGTGCTATGCTTATCTTTTAAAGCAACTGAAATTGCATATAAATAAAGTTCAAAGCTAGCTTATCACAAAGCCATTTGAGCTGTGCTACAGTCTCACTGACAACTCCTGTGCAGGTTTTTAAAGCAGCATTGAAATTCCTTTTGCTGTAGTTTGGATTTCTGTTTGAAGTTCATTAGTAGCAATGCATAATATATAAAAAGGTTAAGATATTTTCTTGAGATCTGTAGAATTTGATGGCAGAAAGCATTGGTAGTACAGCATTCTCCTGCACTGCATAGCTATCTGATTAAATTACTCCTTTTCTTAGATTATTGGATTGCAGGTTTCCCTCAATCATCGGTAAATTTCTAAGGGAAATATAATAGGAAGAGCTGTACTTAGTTTACATTAATTCCTGCAGCATTCTATTCAAATGCCTTTGAGATTTTTAATTTGTTCAAGCCTAGGGTTCTTTATGACCAACAAAAAGGTAAATCTTTGACAACGTGTTCTCAGGAAGACTGAGAACAATATAAACATAACTAACATTAAACCTGCAAAACGTAGCCTGAATTTTCAGACAGTGTCTGTTCCATGTCCTGGGGTGAAATGCAGCTTTGAGAAGGATTTTGGTCTTTGTGGTTACGCACTTTGATCTTGATAACACAGCGAGGCTGTTGAAGATTAGGCAGGGTGAGGTGAGACGGATTCCCAGAGTGCTGTAAACACAGGTTAAGAATGTGTGGGTATGGCAATCGAGTTTGACTTGAAAATAGCCCCAGATTTCAAGACTGCTTTTCCTTAAATTGTTGGCTGACAAATTTTTCTTGTAATTGAACTCAAAGCACTGGGAAAAAAATATGTAAATAGTTTTTGGTTGTACAACAGCCCAGCCCTGCTCTTAGATCTCAGCCAGACGAGCCCATGCCAGCGCCGGTACCTTAACTTTCTCCTTTTTGCGGCATTGTTCACAGTAATCCTGTCTTCACGTATAGCCAAGAGTTGCTGAAGAGGATGGTTCTCCCAGCTTCCTCAAGCTGTGTGCGCCAACAGTTGATAACTTTCCAGCCTTCCATCAATCCCATGGTCTTTAATTCTGTGTTGTTCTGTAGGCTTCACTCCAGCAGTACCGCAGTAATGCTGGCTCCCCAGCCAACCAGTCTCCCACCTCTCCTGTCTCCAATCAAGGCTTCTCTCCTGGCAGCTCCCCTCAAGTAAGGGACTCTGTGCTTCCACAGGCCTTGCTTCTCGTGTTTGTTTTTAGTTGAGTCTCTCCATTACTGACCCATAGTTGCCTCACTGTAACTGTATGTGCCTCATGCATTCCTGGTGTCTCATCTTGTTTGCGGTTTCATTCAGTTCCAGAGTTTATCAATAGCTGGTGAATTGCCTTTTGATTGATCAAAGCTACTCGCTTGAGCACTGTTAACACAGGTATTTCTGCGGGGTGTGCAGTGGACAGAACCTCCAGGTAGAGCCCTTTCAATTAGCAATATTGTGGGGGAGCTGACAGATAAGGCTGGGAGGGCAGGGGAGAGAGAGAGGGAAGCTTTTTAAGTGCCTCCTGTAGCAGGAAAACTTCCTGCAGCACTAAATCTCACTTGTATGGCCACAAGCATTTACATCAGGACCTTTTTCACATGGGAACATACACTTGGAAAGAAAACATTGTAGAAAATGCTCTTAAAATAAGCAACTTGTGGCTTGAAAGTAACGGGTTAGTGAAAATGCTGTCTTGCATGCCACCTGGTTTTTCTTCCTGTGTATGTATATCCATACATCCACGTGTCCTATATGCGAGTCTTAGCTCAGTGTGTGTGTAAACCTGTGAAAGGGAATTTTTATCTGCCAGTTGCAAGACAATTAAAAATAAGCCTTCTTTAAGGGTGCCCTAATTGTAAGGGAACCGAGTGCATTTTCAGTACAAAAATAATCTGATGTTCCTGAAATAGATCCACATGGCTGCCCCTTTCCCAAATCTCACCTGTAGAAGCAAGGTGAACAAAATACTTACAGAGTATCACAACAGTCTGAAAATACATTTTCTGTTTCATCATTTAACGTTTAAGGCTGTAAGGAGGTAACCCCTACCTGATTCCAAAGCAGAAGCTTCGTCTCTCCTTGCCATTAGCCAGAGACAGGTCACTGGTAAGCTCAGTAAGAGATCCGAGTGTCAGGACTGTCTGGATTTTCTTAACCCTTGCTTAATTGCTTCTTAACTTCTTCCTTCTGCCTGCTTCTGCCAGTTCTGCTGTGTTCTGTGCGTGGATCAGAGGAAACACACAACCTTACTTCTCTAGGCTGTCACCTAGAGCAAAGCTGTTGCCAGTCTTGCTGCAAATTCTCAGGTCAAGTTGTCACTTGGGCAGCACAGACGATTTTGATTTTGCATTGATTTTCTTTCCCCCTTGACTTCTCAGTAACTCTTGGTTTTATCCACAGGCTTGTTGCCACTGGTCAGTCCGAAGTACTGGAGTGCAGGGAGTGAAGGCTTGGCTGTAATTTTACTTGCTGGGACTGTTTTACCCTGTAAACTTACTTATGTTCTGCTATTTTCAAGCAGGACACTGTAAGTCATGCAAAATGAGAAGGGTTTATTAATACTACTTAACTTCAGCATTGTCCTCTTTAAAAGTATCCACACACTTCTCTACTTTGGCTAGAATAAAAGCTCTGTAGCTTTCCTACCTTTATCAATAAACCAAAGGTAGCAGTGGAGAGCGAGTCGCCTGTGGCAGTGGACTTTTGGGGCTGGAAATACAGGTGTGGAGAGAAGCAATGGGGAAAGAAAAAACTGGGCTGTGATAATGGGGGCAGCTCCCAAATAGCAGGATCCATTAGTCTGTAGAATAATCTGCCACAAGTAAAAGCAGATTGGTTCCAACAGCAGAATGTTCTCGTTGTGGCACAGTCTGGCACTGGCTGGTGAGAGTGGAATAAAGTAGGTGTGACCGGGTTAGACATCTCCCACTTGCTCCTGTTTCTCCAATTAATTTTAGGTTAAATCACTCTGCAGTGAATCAGTGTGATGTGAGTGACATGGTCTAAAAATAGAGATCTGTGGTTTGATTTTTATCACATACGGTTCATTCACCAGAAGCTTTTTTTTTTTTTTCATCTTTCCACATCTCCAAATCTATTTGCTCTCGTGTGTGAGCTGTTTGTTTGTTACATGAAGGTCTTCCTGTTCAAACACGACTCGGAAAGCTCTGCTTGTAGTTCTCAGCTTTGTGTTTGCATGGCTTTTCACTGACGGTGGCTTGTTTATTACTACTGTGCTTTTCTCCTCTAACACCTGGCATACACTTCCAATTAGATAGAAATCTGCTTTTTTTTAGCAGAATGGCTGAATACTGGAGAATATGGTATGTATTTTAGACGAATAATTTAAGCCAGAGGTTGTGTGGTTTTCTTTTTTTCCTTGCAGTCACCACATCATTAACCCAAGGAGATGTACTGTTGACAAAACAGACCTCATCTAGTGTTTCTGTAGGAGATGGTGTTAGCAAGATGTTTGTCAGAGTTGTCAATAAATTATTTTAGGGCTCCGAAGTGTTGAAGTAATGACATTTCCAGTTGGTTTCCTTTGGGAGATTCAGTGCTTAAAAATGTAATAACTGGTGTATTTCAGGGCTGAGGGAAAACACGGGCTTGTAGGGTTTGTTAGGGGTTACCAAGGTAGACTTGCACAAGTTTTGGTCTCCCGTTCATTATTTTTCTTGTAGCCTAAACTTTTTAGCTTGGGAGCAATGCTTAGTGGAATGCAGAAATCCTAGGTTTTGCCCTATGTCTGAAAAGCTCCTGTAAAAATGAAACGTCAAAAATTAAATGAAAAAAAAAACAACATACCTTGGTTCTCTTTGGAGCTCTCAAATAGAAACTGTATTTCTAGTGCTGGTTCAAACCAGCTTCGATTTACATTGAGTATGTGACATACTGAAGTGCAAGTTTTTTGTTAGGGAGTGTTGTAAAACATCACACAGTCCCAAAGCGATGTCTGCTGCTTAAGATGGGAATGATTTGCCCGTGATAGTGAAGCTGCCTGGTCCTGAGCTGCTTGCTTGAGTTAGCTCTATGCTCTCTACACTGTTTTTTTTTACGCAGCACATGCAGCAGGTTGAACAGTGTGGAGTTTGAGGAGCCATCAAAACATGCCAATCAAGGTGTAACAGGGCAACAAGCAAGATGTCAGTGGTTTAAAGAAGGAAAGTGCTTTTGTTATTATTTTTTTTTTTAAGTATAACTTTGTAGCAGGGCTTTGCTTTCCTCTCATCCCGTGCGATGTGCTCTTGTGATGTTTGGTTTTTTCCTCGCAGCCCCGTCTCATGGGGACGGAGCAGCCCCCGTGGTGCTGAGGACCAGTGGTAAATGGGAAGAGAGGCTCCAAGTTCCCAGTTTCACCTCTTTCCGTGGAGGGCACTGAGTAGGGCGTTCAGCTGCAAAGCTGTCAGTTCTGTTCTGCAGTCATAGCTGTGACACATCATACACGCACAGGAAAGTGAACTCAGTGAATCAAAATCGTACTTTTGTCCAGAAAAACCTATTCAGGACCTATTTAGTCAGTTGTAAGGAAGAGGCGGCTTCATTCAGTTAAACCCTTCCTTACTGAGAAGTCCCTGTATGATCTCTGACAAAGATCTGGAGGCAGTTTGCTGCTATTCCTGACCCCGACAGTGTCACGCTTCAAAGCGCAGCCCCTCGGAGGTCCGTGAGGTTTGTGTTTCAACTTCCTGACACTCTCCAGCAGCGCTGTTCTGCAGCAAATTTCTCTCTTCTCCAAGTGCATCCGAACCCTGCCCACACCCTCGCGTGCAGCTGGTGGAAAGTGCTTCGCAGTGATGCTCCCAGCAGTTCTGGGATCAAACAGGATCTGCTCAGCAAGGAGCTGTGCAGCACACGCGGCTCAGGTTGAACTTTAGCGACCTTCCCTCTCAGAGCCCTGTTCTTGGGCTGTGAATTCCTCCCTTGATGCCACATTTATCAGAAAACGTCCGTCTGATGTGATAGCTGAGGGCTCTGGCTGGAGGTGGGAAGGGTTTTACTTGCTTTAAAAAGAGCAGATGATTATTTCTTTCATGATAGTCCCCTCTCCTGGAGGGTGTTGGGAGTTTTGTGCAAGACTTTCCTTCTTTTCCTTGCATGCAGCCTGCAAATAAAACCGAGATATGCTTCTGATGTAGGAGGAGAATGCTTAAAACGTGACGTGCTGTTTGCTGAGATGATTTTCATGTTCACTGTTGTGGACATCACCCCGTGTTTCTGAGTTTCTTGATCTTTGTTCAGTGTTTCTGGCTGGTGTAACCGTCCTTGTGCCTCCTAGGCTTCTGCTTAATTACATACACTGCTTAGGTTTTTAAGGAGAAAATTTGTAGCCTTCTTCTTTTAATGTGCAGATAAAACAGCTGGAAAATGCTGTGTGAGGTATTAAACTCCACGAAAATCAGCTCTTATGCACACCATCTTTTATTGATGCTCCGTTGTGAGCTTGCTTGTGGTGGTTTGAAATAAGGAGTGATCTTTGTGGTTTTTCTTCTTTGTGGCAATTCTCTGGGGTAGTGCTGAGCATTATTAAAGTATTGTTAAAATATTGACCTAAAATTCTTGGTCACCTCTAGAATAACTTGTAAACGGTGGAGAATCACTGGTAAATGATTGCCATGCTACAGCAGAGAGTAAAATTAGTAAGGCTGTACAATTCCTCCTGTCCTCCTTGTCTATGAACTTCCATGCTCTGCTGGGCTTTTCTCGTTAACTTTTCTGATCTCCAGCTAAAGTGAAATGACTGTAAAATGTCAATTTGGTTCTGGCATGTTGTTGTCTCGGTGAAGCTGGCTGTTGAGTGGACACCAGGCTGCGGAGGCAGTGAGTTATCACCAGCACGCAGGTCGTGGCTCAGCTTTGCATCACGTTTTGAACGTGCAGTTTGGTTCTGTCTGGGTTCGTCTGTCACCAAAACAAAGAAGTTCACCAAAAAGCTGCAGTTGCAGAGCGATTTTTTTATTTCTCGTCTTACCTAGCGCACTCGTCTGTACTCATAAATCAGAAGTTTTGTGTTGTATGTCCTCCGTGAGGCAGTTCGTTTGGTTTACCTGACTGTATCTTTGTGCTTAACGAAAGGCAGCGTAACGTGGAAGGATTTGTGTGGTGGAGGGAAACGCTGAATATTTACGGACGTGGTGGTGGTTAGTGGCTGGTAATAAAACGGGGCACTGCTAACTAACTTCTGAGAAGCATCGGTTGGAAGGCTCGAGTCACTTGCACGCCGTGGGTACCTCTGTTTGTGAGATTTTTGCACCATAAAGACTCTGTTTTGTTTTCAGCATTCTTCCATTCTGGGGAGTGTATTTGGTGACTCCTATTATGATCAGCAGATGACAGCTAGGCAGGCTAATGCCCTATCCCATCAGGTGAGCAAATTCATCTCAGATTTTCAGCTATGTTTCGGCCACTTTCAGCTTAAAGTAAATATAATTCAACTTCTGATAATTTTCTGTGATAGCACATTTTGTCCTTTTAAGTTTACCTCTCATTTTTAGTTTGCAATACTTAGGGATTTCTTTTCCTTTTTTTTTTTTTCCCTCCCCATTCTTCTTTCCCCTTTCCTCCCTCTTAGCCAACAGAGCAGATGTTTTTCAAGGTGTTCTGCCAAGATTATTGGATTCGAAATAATGAAAATAAATAAATATGGACATTTCTGGCTGTAGCCACATTTGGGAAGGGTTCACGTGTATGTGCTAACAATGTTGACTCCTGAAATTGGCAAACAATTCATGTACAGTACCAAAACCTAGCAGGCAGACCTGTACCCTCATTGCTTTGGCCAGCCAGTGCATTGATTCATTCAGCTGTTAAATATGCTCTGGTAGCAGATAAAAATGAGATGGCTTCTGAGAGGCAGCACTTGATGGGCAGATACCTGAGTTAATGGCACGAATTGTTTCATTTATTTATTTATTTTACCTTGCTTTAAAGCTACCTTTTCTTTTTGTTCTTCCGATATTGAAAGCAACAGTTTTATTTTGGCATCCATTCTCCCCTCATTTCCCTGCACTCTGAATTTGGCAGCGAAGTATTCTGGAAAGTTAAGTGAAAATAGACCGTATTTTGATCACCAAAACCTAAAGATGAATTTGTTTGCCTGTCTTTCTCAAGTCTACTTCCCATAACTTGAGCTTTGTAAGTTATTTTTTGCTGTGTTCCTTGACGGTTGGAAGTAACAATTTCCTTTGTACCTTGGTCTTCAGCTCGAACAGTTTAATATGATAGAAAACGCCATTAGTTCCAACAGCCTGTACAGCCCTTGTTCCACCCTCAACTACTCCCAGGCAGCCATGATGGGACTTACCGGCAGTCATGGCAGCTTGCAGGACTCGCAGCAGCTGAATTACTCCAGCCATGGAAACATCCCCAACATCATTCTTACAGGTAAGGACACTGCAGACTTACCAGACGGGTAAAACCATCCCGCTGCTGGATTTTATCTTCGTTGTGCAACGTTAGCAGTGAGCCAAGAGAGAAAAAGGGTACTGCCACCTTTGAAGGTGGTGTTTCACCCTGTGTAAATGTTCCTGTTATGGTCTGGAGTATTTCCTGAGTGCCGGGGAGCCTGACGGCTCTTGGTTGATCCCAGCGAGCAGGCAGAGCATGCAGCAGCAGCACTAATTGCCTTACAGAGCTCCCCTGCCTCTGAAGTTGCTGCATCCTGTGCCTTAGTGAGGGAGGAGCTGTGAAAGCTGAACTTTTTCCTCTGCTGCTCCGTTCAAGCTTGCCAACCGCAGGATTTTTTACTGTTACATATGGTAGCGAATCTGGTCACGGTTGGACATTTGGAAACAGTTTCTGCACGGATCACTGAGAAAACGGTAGCGTAATCCGTATTTCAGCCCAGGACTCGTGCTGATTAGAATCATGTAAATTGGGGTTTTTGTTCCTAAACCTAAGGGAGAGAGAAGCTAAAGTGACACCAGTTCGTAGCCCCCAAATGTCCATAGACGAACGCTGCTTTGTGGCGGGTCATTACGATGACTTTGAAATGCTCTGACAAATCTGTAATTCATCCAGCTGGAGATGAGGATAGATTTTTCTTGTCTGAACTCTAGCCTTCCGTAAAGTATTCCAGGATTTTTGCAAGCTGTATTATCACTTCATCTAATTTTTGTGCCTGGAGAATGCGTATTTGCTAAGGCCTGCTGGTACCTTTCTCTTCCCCACAGTGACAGGAGAATCTCCTCCCAGCTTATCAAAAGAACTGACCAGCTCTTTGGCAGGAGTGGGCGATGTCAGCTTTGACACGGATTCCCAGTTCCCTCTGGATGAACTCAAAATTGACCCTTTAACCTTGGATGGACTGCACATGCTGAATGACCCAGACATGGTCCTCACCGACCCCGCCACAGAGGACACGTTCAGGATGGACCGGCTGTGAAGCGTGGACACCAGGAGCTTGGGAACGGCGCTTGTTCCTGGCGCCCAGCCGAACTAGAGAGTCCCCAGGGTCAGTCGTGTCAGAACAGGGGTTACCGAGAGCGGTAGCTCTGTCCTGTACAACGTGTACAATGAGTAAAAGCTTGTCGTTCTAAGCTTGCAGCGCTGCAGACCCCCCACTCCCTGTCGCGCCGTATTTCACCCCTTACCCACTCGTTGCCATTAATGAGTAAGGAGTTTCCATCAGCCTTCTCCTCTCCAGAGCCCCCCCCTTCCCCCCCACCAAAGCTCCAGCGTTCAGTTGTCGATTTATCCTTTGCACTAGGAGGGGGTGTTTTTTTTGGGCAGGCGAGGAAGGTCCAGAGCCGAGGGTAAAGAGATTCTTTCTAACGTACCAAATCGTTGGCTGCTGCTTGGGACGGGGAAAGGAGCTGAGGACTGTCCCCCCCCTCCCCTCTCCCCCCACCGATTCGAAAGCAAATCTCTGCGTTGCCACCCTCCGGGAGGGGCTGGGGGAGCTTCTGCGGTTTTGACTCTGCTTCGTGACAGCTGCTTTGTAGAGTAAAATGCTTCTTCCTTTATCGATATGCCATGTTTGTTTCCAGGTCCGTTCCCCTGACTGTCGTCCTGCACCCACTGCCTCTTCTCATGCCCTGAGCAAACTCGTGTACTTGGCAAAGCAGAAAAGCAGCCGGGCAGCCCCACGGCCTTTGGTAGCCGGCTAGTCAAAAAGGCGACTGTAAACACTATTTTCCAAGCTTTTTTTAACAGATATATATGTAATATATATATTTATATATATGTATACATATATATAGCATTTCTGAGCACACAAAAAAGTACTATAATTCATTACTTGATTAGCACGGAGGAAGGATCAGAACATTTTAAAGCAGCTAAAAGAATATAGGAGACTAACTTGCAGAGTGTATTTCTAACTTTACTTTGTGAGAGATTCCTGGGCAACAGGAAGGGCATTTCTATAGCAATGCCTGGCTCAAACCATGATTTTTTTATTTTTTATTCTTATTCATTACTTATTCTGTTACCATTATTTATGATTTTTTTTTTATTTAAGTATTTGGATATTAGCAAAGTAGCTAAACTACATACAGCCAGTTGAAGCACTCTACATAATACTTGTACAGTACATCTTTTTGTGTTTTTATTCCAGAAGTATATTATATATATTATATATATAGGTATTTTTAACTAACTGGAATTTTAAACAGATGTTGAGCAGAAGTAAGGAAGCCTAGGGCAAGTCTAGATGTTTCCCTCTTAGAGTCGAGATAGGGTGGCAGGAACTTCAATATTCCTTCTTTCACCCTGGGGAAAAAATAGCTTGTTCTGCAGTGAAATAGTACTGTATCCTTGAACAGGTTGAGATTCTGTTAAATTCATAATAGACTATTTCTGTTAGTCCTTGTTAATATTCTGTGCTGCAGTAAAACGGGATGATGAATGACACTTTATCAATGGCAGATTTAAAAAAAAAAAAAAAAAAGAACAGAAACAACTCATTGACTGAGTTGGTGATTTTACTTAAATATCATGGCTGAACTTATGATGATTCCCAAATATCTGCACTTGGGACTTTATCAGGTCTGAAAAAAATGTTTAAGGATTTATCAAGAGCCCAGGAGGCGTAGAGTAGTTACCGGGGCACTGTTGAAATGCTGACAGCACTGCACTGTAACCTCTGCAGTAACACCCCGTAAGTACACGTCCCTTATTAGTAGAAGCTAGGAGTTAACATTATTTTGAGTTTCATTAACAGCACAAAAATTATGTTGTGTATAACACCCCGAATGTGAGGTTAATGAATAGCAGCTAGAGGAAGCATTTCCATGCAGCAGGGGGTGGACATCCACAGCTATTTTTGTTAAATACAGCCTCAGTAAAAGAGCTGGGCTTTGTTTTCATTTCAAGACGAGTTGTTTTGTTGTTCCCCATGCCCATCCCTGGCATGGGCGTTCCATATCTGCTCTCTTTCAACTCGCTCTGCATCACCTGAGTCTGTATTTTGTCTAAAATCGTGTCAGTTCTATCTCAGCTGTCATTTTTCTAAGCAAAAAAAAAATCCCTTCAGCACTTCTACCTGACCTCCCTGCCCCGTTCCCCTCGAGAAGGATTTTCTTGCTGTTTTCAGCAAGCGATACGGAGGAGCTGGACTGCTCTTAATGAGTTATACTAGGTTTCTGTGTGCTTCCAGAAATCTGTGGGACGCCGTCCTGAGATTCATGCAAACACTGCTGAGCAGAATCGTTGTTGGGATCTCTCTAATTTGGGTGCGTGTTTGCTCACATCTGTGCCATTAGTTGACCATTTGCACTAAAAGTATTTTTCTTTAGATCTCTTTGCTTACCTGTGTCTTTTTCGTTTGTTCCTTCCCATGCAACTGAGCGGTTTTCCTGCATCTTTGTTGAAAATGTTTGTTAGGATTTACACCTGGTAGTACATGCTAACTCCTGATGTCTGCTTATTTCAGATTGCTAACGCTTTTTCAATTTAAGAAAAAAAACAAACAAACAGAGGTAGCTTCGAACAGGAGGATACCCAAAAAGAACAAGAGTATTTGGGGCACAGGTGACTCGGAGTCCTTTGCTTTGAAACAGCCGAAAGGTACAGTGTGAGCCGGATGCGCTTCTTGCAGTTCACGTAGTCTCTTTGACAGTACTGTTAGTTCCTCGATGGGATTTCTGTCTGTATCGCTCTCTTGTTCGAATGACTCTCATGCATGTAAATTCTTGTTTGTGATCTATTTTTTTAAAACCAGAGTCACTTCAGAATGAAGCATCCAAGTAGGAGATCAGATTCCTAACTGGAGACTTTTACAGGGAGCTGTTGCTAAATGCTACCTTCTAATTTTTTTTAAAACTACATGTGTATATAAGAGATCTTGTTTATTAGACTTGTAAGTAGACATTTAAAATGGCCTTAATTTAAAAATAACACGTCTGGATGCAACTGTCAAAATTAGGGACCATCTAGTTGAGAGAAATACAGGTTTTGTTCCTTTCTTGTGGGGCAAACGGAGAAGGGTGCTTTGAGAGTGGGAAGAAGATGAAGTCATCGTGGGAAGCAGATGACGGCCGTGTATGAAAATGTGCTTCATCTCTCGAGCCCCGGTAGCGGGCAGGCAAGCTGCTTTTATTACTGACCCTTTGAGAACCGGAGCAGTTCTTTCAACAGCTCTTGCATTTTGCTTCCCAGAAGGCCAGTTTCTTGACAGCGTCGTGTACGAGCTGCGCTTAGGAGGGGTTTTTCTCCCCCTCTCCCCTTAAAGGTTATATTTTTAAGTGCGTATATGCATAAGGCTGCTTTTAAAGCAAAAACAATATTAATTTGTCAAATGTAAACGTGGAGCAAATCCCCGGTGTTTTGGGAACAAGTGATAATATTTAAAAACCTATTAGCACAGTTTTCGTTTTAAATTGCCTGTAAAAGGGTGAGAGCTGTTGGGAGTGGTTGGCCCTCACAGTCCAGGGATGGATGAGAGCAGAAAGGAAAATGATCACTTGGCAAAAAAAAAAAAAAAAAAAAAGTATTATTTGTATCTTTTCCAGTTAAATCTTGAAACTGTCTGGTGTCTCAAAGGGTTACTGTCCAAACATACCTGCTGAATGAACCCTCCCCCTCCCTACAACATGTGTTTTTTTTATATATATAAATATATATATTAAAAAGTTCCCAAGCTAGACTGTTGCATTTGCCAATACAATGGGGAATTAATAGGAATAAACTTTCAGTGTATAAAATACTGTGACTTTCAAAAGAAAAACCAGACTTCTGCTGTTCCTTGCAGTGCAGGCGGGTGGGGGGGGGGGAGGCTCTCGTCGTTGTACATAGCAGTCTGCATTCTCTTTCCAATGAATCTGCACAGGCCGAGTTGAGGTCATTCTCTGCTGCATGTGTGACCGACCGCAGGCAGCACCCAACCTGTCAGCTCACTACTGCTTCTGCATGTCAGTGAACACTTCGCCAGCGATCTTTGACTGTGCAAAACCTTTCCTGTACAGAGAACCTTTGAGTTGTTCCTTTATTTTTTTTTTTTTAAAGAGGGGAAAAGGTTTCCAGAAAGAGGCTGCAAATTAATCAAAGAAATTATTAATGGTTTGGATGTTTTATCACCTTTTTGAAAATTCGATTGGATTGAGTTTCTAAAAAAAAAGTGCGCCTGAGAAACCCTGGTGCAAACCCATGCAACAGAAATGCTTAAAACTTTCAGCTAAGAGGAAGAGCTGCCCTCTGAGTTTTTGTAAAAGCAGCATCCAATAACGTAGAATTGTTCAAGTATCCTCCAACAATTAGGTCTTGGCATTGTCCATTTCTAAAACCTCAGATTTCTGTAGAAAAAAAATACTTAAGGCTGGAGATCTGCCCCTTGCTGAGCATGGTACTCGCCTTGGAAACCCCCTCTGTCCCGTAAGGAAGAGGAAAGCCCCCTCATCATACCCTAGGTTCAATTGTATGCTGTGCTTTCAGGAGAAAAGCGTTTATTCCTCTGACAAATGGAACCCCCGTCACTGTGATGGCAATGTGAAAGCGCAGGTAGCGTTTGTTACATGTGTATGTTCTTTTTAAAAAACAAAAAAGCGGAAAAAAAAATTTGTAGTGTTCCTGTTCTTTGTATTTTTAGTTGCATATTATTTATACTGCGCAGTGTAGGCATGGATTGCATGTCAGTTTTCTATGCGGGCACCATGATGACATTATAACTGTGTATTATAAATCATTTTTACCTTTTTAAACAGAATCATTGTGTGGAATTTCTATACTGCAAAACAAAACACTACATTACGTACAATATTCATTTGTGTTATTTATTTTCTTTTTTTGTGGGGGGGAGGGGGGTGGTTTTAACTGTGGTGTATATTGCCTTATGTGGGCTTGACCAATTTTATCAAAATAAAGGCCTAAAGGGGTAAAATATGTTTACTGTTTTCTTCAGTAAATGGACTTGGGGCTGCTATAGAGGCAACTGCAGGAAAAGTACACGGCAGAGAGCGTAACAAGGAAGCAAAGAGAATCCAGATAGAAATAAAACGTCGCTGTGTAATGTGCTGACTGCAAGTAGCGAGGAGGGCTGGTCTGAGAAGTGGTTCAAGTCTCACTTGTCAACTTAATGTTGGTAATTGCCTGATGAGCGTGAAGAGCCTTGCCTAACCCTTCCAAATACATCTGCTCTAAGTCCTTTGCTTCTTTTAAGGAAACTAAATAGTGAGAAACTAAATAGCGGGAAACTAAATAGCGGTCTGCTTTTGGACCGGCAGTGAAATCTCTTCTTGCCTGACCTAACGCTGCAGAAAACGGACAGCACAGATGCTTTGCTCCTGATTTGTTGCAGGTTTTCTGGTTTTGAAATATGAAGAGTCTGTGTGGGCACTGTGGATTTCTGAAGGTCACAGGTAATGAGAGCAATTCAGAGGAAGAGCAAGAACAGGTGCCAGCACCCCTTTTTCAGGTTAAGATGCAGCGTGTCCAGCGAGGCCCGTGTGTTAGAGCCAGCAGGAGCCGTCCCTGTGTGCTGCTTCTCGTTGTACGTGATGCTTTGACTTCCCTCCTGTGCTGTTTGTGTTTTTGTAGAGCAGATGTAGAGCCTTCCATCCTCGGGTTTCAAACACGGTGAATCCATTTTGCCCTGATGTGTTTTGTGTCTGCATCACGGTGCCAACAGCATCGCGGTGATGCTCTTTGCAATGAGAGCTGGGTTTGGACAACCACAGTGGGACAGCAGCTTGGGGGGCCCTGCGTTCTCATGGGCTGCTGTAAGAGTTGTCGTTACTTCTGTAACTTCCTGGGTGAGCTGTTGGGTAACTAAATTTCTCTCTGAATTTCAGTTTTCCTTGGTTATTGCTGTTTTCTAGGTATGGCTCCAGCAAGGAGCTTTCTGGCACAATGCTTGTGCTGGGGTAAACGCTTAGAAGTCGGGCTGTAGAGGTGCTGTGGCTGCATTCAGCACAGAGAAAGAGAGAACTGAGCAGCTGCGTTGCGTTAGACTGAATGCAAGTGTCAGACTGAATGCAAGTGTCAGAGAATTTCTTTATACGTTGAACTGTTGGGCTGCGCTGGCAGCGGGTCCGTTAGTTCCTGTATTTCAGTGGGGAGAAGCAGATGGCTCTCACCTTTGTGTTGTCCAGCCGGGTCCTGGAGATTTTGCCATCGCACTCGTGCTCCCGGTGGCTGTGGCTGCGCACCCTGGCTGGCTGCAGTAATTGTCCACGCTGAGCTGTCTGCAGTGGGGCAGTTTGCTGCTGTTGTGCACGTTACAAGGGAAAAGGCAGGTGACTGCTGGGAAGGAGCCTGGTGCAAGCTAGGAAGTTGGGAGGGTTTACAGAAAATGCCTTGTCTGGTTTACTTAGGATATTAGACCAAAAGTGTTGACTGCTGGCTCTGCATGGGGGAAAAACTGACAAAATTGTGAGCATTGTGCGGATCCGTTTCGCTTTGGATTTCTGCTATTGTACCTCCCACCTTGCAGCTGGGGATTGCGGAACAAAAACCAGAGCGAAAGTGCTCGGCGGTGACTCCCGGCTCTGGAGTCGGCAGCAGCTGTTAGGAAGCTGTCACTGCGGTGTCTGCGTTTCCCTTAACGCCGTGCCTGCCGCAGGTACTCCTGTCATCGCTGTCACATTCGCGAGACTCTGCTCTCAGCAGTGACAATACTTCAGACGTTTTTGTACAGCATGATGATAAGGATGGAAGTGGGGATGACAGGTTAGACTGTTTTACTCCTTAATTTTGCCTGCCTTCAGCCTATACAAACTCCTAAACTACTACTTGTTAAATTTGCAGATAGTATTTCCTCTCGGTGGCTGATGTGTTCAAACAAGGCTGATAAACCTATCAGCAGAAAAGCTCATCAAAGTGTTTGTGGGAGCTGCGTGTGGGAACATACCGCTCCAGGGATAAGTTACATTTTCTTGCCAGTCTTCCCAGTTTTTAGGAAGCAGATCTGTCATTGAAGTAGGGCACATATTAAACTAGTTTGTTTTAGAGTGAGTACATGTGGAATTTAATTTGTCACTAGTTGCATGCTCCTTTCATTGAGCTCAAAACTAAAACCTGATGATTTGAGCTGTAGCGCTGGTTGGGAACATTAATTATCCACTTCAGGTAGCTGCGCTGTAAGCTAACAGTTTTATCCATGTGCGAAGGGAACACTTTATCCGAGCTGGTGTAAGAAATCCTCCCCGTTAATAAACAGCCTTCTGTGCTGCCCGATGGGAGACTGGGAACAGGCAGCGGGGCCAGGGATGTTCCTTGGAGGTCCCTGAGCCCACCTGGGAACCTGCTCCTGCCTGCGTGCGCAGGCCTTGGGACCAGCGGGTGTGGCGGCGTTTCGGCTGCTAGGCACCGATTCCCCTTGAGCAGGCTGACGTCAAGAGGCTGGATTTTTTTCCTTAAAACCCTGTTTTGACCAAGTTGTCTCCTCTGCTTTGAGCTAATGGTTGGAAATGAGCAGTGTTGAGTCTTTGCCCTTGGTTAGTGTGACCGCGGCTGAAGGAGCTTGGCTGGGATGAGAGGCCGGAGTCTGGGCAACCTTGTGTGCATCAGCGCTTTGGCAGCCAGGGCACTGGAGACTTTGCTTTGTATTTTGCTTCTTTGTTGTGTTTTTTAAGCTTGTCCAGGTGCTGTCTGTTTGGGAGAACTGTGTGTACACGTGTCCATGCCTGCCTACTCACCTAGAACAAGAGAATTGAAAAACCGAGCAGTACTTGTGTGTCCCTTTGGTGCTAATGACGGTAACTTTCCTGTCTTGCAGCATAAACCTGAGCTCGAGGTGTGCTTTAATTTCAGTTCTAGAAGTGAAGGCTTTGTAGTCAGACAGCCTGAGCTAGGGCTGGACTAGTTTGCTGGAAACTGTGGCAGAAAGCTCGGAGGGAGGGCACAGAACCTGGGTTAACGCAGGGAGCAGGAGAGGAGGTGCCGGTGACGTTTGTCACAAGACCTTAACCTGAGGTCTCCCGCGGAGCTGGCTCAGTAAGGTTTGCGTCTGCCCAAGGGCACCCTGGACATCCCCCGGGTTTGAATTAGGCATGGTTGTGTTAGTGTGGCTTTTGTTGCTCTTAAAATGGTTGTTGTTTAATATCTGTTAGATCAAGTTTTTGTTTTATAGGATATAGTTTATGTATTTCTCATTTTTATGTGGCACAGGAGTCAGGATGAAGTGGACCTTGCTGTGTTAGAACCCAGTGGGTGTTTAACATGCAGGCAGATGAGTGAAATGACAATTGCTTTCTTACAGTATTTTACTCTTCTGCTAAACATTTTCAAAACCCTCAGAGGCTTGGGGTGGATGGGAGGGCAGTTAAACAACGTGAATCTTATCTAGATTTCATTTCCTGGTCAACCTTAGAATATCCGTCAATAAACAAAGTAGGACAAACAGAACTAGGATTGCAACAGACAGCTCTGTGTGTGAATTGAGAGACTGCCGAACCGGTCACAAAATCTCCCTCCCTGCTCTTGTTCCTGGAAAATTTGCTCTCCAAGCAGGAGCTGCATTTGAGCCTTACAGTAAGATACTTAACAACTCTCAAACATGTATGTGAAAATGAGACAAAACCCAAATATTCAGTGCTTCTGCTGGAGAAATGCAAGTCTCAGAGATTGTAGAGAGTGTGAGACTGCTTGTCCTAAACCGAGTCAATTCATCTCTCATTGTTGTGATTTGTACAGGGCCAAACGTTCTCAGGCCTTGACGCTTCTTTTCTGCCAGAGCAGAACTGCTCGCTGCGTGGTGGTTTCCACTGGTGTTTTAAATATCTCAAAAGATTCTGTTTACTGCTTCCTTTGGGAGGTGATTCGTTGTGGTGCGAGGAAAGGAAGGGAGGGGATTGATCTGTATCGTGTTGCTTTGAGGTTCCAAGTCTATAAAACGCTCTCTAGTGGAAGTGCTGTGTGACAGCACGTATATCAAATAGAAATTTGCCTGACTGTAAGCTCTGATTCATTCAGATTTTCTGTATCGAGTATAATTACAACCTCATGCAGATAAAAGCTTTTAAATCTGTCGAAGGGCACCCTTTTCTGCAAGTAAGCTGGGAGGTTTTTTAATTGCGGTTGAGATTTCTAAATAGGAATACGTAGTTACAGGAAAATGTGTATTCTGCCCCTGAGAATGTTATTCTTTACCACATGCAAATTTTGCTAAATCTTTGAAGATTAGTCTGAGACCTGTGCAGATTCATCCACCCTTCAGCTCTTCCCGTAAATGTGCAATAGAAGTTCTTCCCTCAATAAGCTTAAATTGTCATAATTGACTAATGGTGAAGGGAAGCCTTGGATAAGGCTTCAGCTCGTGGTAAGAGGTTTATATTTGCAATGAATCTTGACTAAATCTGTGAAAGTAGGGCAGGGTTTTCAGATGTGAAGTCAGTCTGAGCTAGAATCATTTAAAGAGCAAAGTACAAAGGGATATACTGACAAAGTGCTGTTGGCTCTCATTAGGGACATCTGCTTTCAGAACGCTGTATCTTACTCTGCCTTTTGAACTGCTGTATCTGTACAGTGAAATGTAAAGTTCATTTGTACATGTCCTATGGATTATTCAATCCGATTTTTTTATACTGTGGTTTAGAAAAAAGGGATGAAAGGTCTCCATTTATAAATCTAATTTAAGAACTGGTTTCTGCAACTGTAGTAGTGGAGTGTCAGTATTTCCTTCAGAAATTTTACAGGCTTAAACTTACTCATAGAAATTGAGTTGAATTATACTATACAAAGGGCAATTTTTTAATTCAACAAAATCTGCTCTGGCTATTTGTCAAGAAAGAAAAGCAAGCAGTTATCAAATATCCTTGCTTATGCGTAATATTACAAGCCTCCATTTGAAAGGAAAAGATTAAGCTTGGCTCAATTTTGGGATTTCTAAGATGTTAAATATAGAGAAGATAAATAGGTAAAACTTCTGTTCTTGCAGAGTAGGTGACGAGCATAAAAGTTACATGATAATATTTATGGGGCAAAATGTTGGGGGGGATAGGGCTTGCTTAAACAAAACTTTCTTTACTTACTGGATCCTGAATATTCATGGCATGAGCATCTACACAGGAGATAACTGTGTGTATAAATATACTGTATACACATCCACCGATCTTTGGTCAGCATTATACAGCATAGTAATTAAAATATTGTATTTCAGTCAGCTATTAACTAATAAGACAGTAGATATTGAGGTTTTATTTGGGGAGGAATTAGAACTTTTAGATACTTTTACTTGTTACCTTAACAGAGCCCCCATCTGTGGAAGGATTCCTTATAGAAGAAGTGGAAGTAAAATGTATTAGTACGTATGAAGGGAAAGTTTGATTTTAATAAAATTAAATACAGCTGCTTTTGGCAGCTTCTCACAGACTGGCAGCTAAAAACAACTTTATGTAGTTCGTTGAGCTTGGGGAAAAATGTCAGATTTATGCATTTTCAGAGACAGTATAATATACTGTTCTTTACAAGTTAACTTTTTCTATTAAAATAATTTGTGGATTATTTCACTGATATATGCAATCCTATATTCAGCTACAGTGTTGGTGGCACAGGAACTCTGGAAAAATTGTCCCTGCGACATAAAAGTTTTATTTATTGTGTTTTTCTATAGGTAAAGTGGAAAACTGAAGTTGGCTTTAAGTGTTTGCAATCTGAGAAATGATGTGAAAAAGCAGCTCAACTAAATGTACATTCTTTTCAATCTTTTCTTTTTTGTGTGAAGGCTTTTGTCTTTGTATCTTTGCATTATTTGTAAATGAAATGTAATAAAAGTTCAAATGTTTTTGTCTCTGGCTGCTTAGCTTTTTCTTCCTTAGTTTTGTTTGTTGTTTGTTTGCTTTTTGACTGAAGGTTTTCAGTGTTGAAATATTAGTGTTTTCAGTGCTCATGTTTATGAAGAAATGGCAAAATGGAATTATTTTGGTTATCTGGCTTCTTACAGCTCTGAAAACTGAACTCCATGTTAGTCTTCATGAAGAAACTGCAGAGTGATCTAAAAGATGGAAAGCACTGTGCTAAGTCTCAGACTGTGAGCTATCTCCAGGCGTCCCTGAGTTCTAAGTGTGTTGGTGATGGTGTAATGACTGTCTCTGCTTTTAGGTCAGAGGATTGGTCACGTCCTGGACTGCTGCGTAGTGTCAGAGCATTTTAGGATAAGGAGATTCTGTCTTGTACATGTGAGCTGTTGGGTTTTCTGAAAGCAAATGAGCATGTAAATGTGCACACGTGCCTGGTTAAGTCATCACACATTCATGCTGTAACAAGTGGGTGTAGCTTTCACTGCAGTAAATCTTGTGTTACATTGGTCGTCACTGTAGAGGTAAATGGAGTCAGTGATGCAAAAAAGTTTTATCCTACCAAGACAGTGCTTCTCTTTGTCTGAGAATGACCAACTCCTGCAGCTTGGGCAGTTATTTCACCTGTTCTTTTGAGTGGAACTCCTCTTTTTCTGATGCTGTTGTATGCTTCTCTGTGGGAAAGGTTCATCTACGATCAGTATTCTGACCTAAGGGACAGGCGTGCTGGGCAGAAAGCTGTCATTCTGGTTCAGTGTTCTGTGTGAAGCATAATTAAGTCGATCACAGCAAGGCTGAGTAGACGTGTGTTAGGTTTCAGTGTTAAGTAAAAGGTGGATGGATGTTTAAAAAGGTGGATGCTTCAGCTGTCAGCATGGTAACACACCATCTCTGGCCATTTCAATTTTAGAATCAGTTTCTTAGAAGCTACGTAACATCCCTTCAGTACTTAAAGACATTTTGTGTAGGGGGTACTGTACTTTGGACTGACTGATCTGCATTTCTTCCTGTTGGGGAAAGGGCGACTTAGCAGCTATTTTCATGACAGTCTGAGAACGGTGAATGGAGATATTCTCAAAGCAAAGTCTAAATGAGCCCGTTTGCAAAACTAGTGTTCTTTTTGCAGTTCTCTTTTTACACTGTTGCCTCCAGAATGTGAAATTCAGATACAGATAGCTGTGGAGACCTGTGCTTGGTAAAAACGCAGCTTTTGCCATAAGCCTTCCAGGAGGAGAGGAAAAGTTTGTTCACACCTAGCATGCTACCTGAAAGATCTTGCAAAATCTGACTTTTATTTTCTCTTTTGGCAGACTGGAATGCTGCCGGGTAACTGTTTAGCTGGAAAAGGCTGGGGGTCACAGAATTGTAGGATTTAAGACTTTCCATGTTACCAATTACAGAAGCTCTTCGTGTCTGCCTTACCCAGCTCAAGTGAGCACCTCGTAATAGTAACGGCTTCAGTTTTTCCTGGTTCCTCAGCTAAGTGTTGGACTCCTGGCATGGTGTCATAAGACAGACCAAGTGTAAAGCCATCACTTACCCTTTTGCAACTAACTGCCACTAATCTGCAAGAACAGGTAGGACAGTCTAGCTAGCAGGACTTTCTTGAATGAAGAAGTGTCCCAGTGTATTTGTACTGCTAACGGAATTCTTAATTCAGCTGAGGGCTCTCCAGCAGTCATATTGCATTCAGCTTTTGCGGGTTTCTGTGTTACACATCTGTACTGGAAGAGATTTGGAAGAGGAAAGAGCAACATGCACGTGACCAAGAAGTCTGTTAGAGTATTTATTATCCAACATTCCAGAACAAAGATACTCTCCCTAAAGTGCTTTTTAAAAACATTTTGTGAGCAACTTGGACATAAGCTGCTTTCTGTGTCCTTTTCAGACTAGTGCTGTGTTTGCTTTGCAGTAGATCTTGAAAAGGAGAACATTTACACTTGAGAGCCTTTGAGTAGGGAAAAGATTCCTGGGAATCATCCATGCTAAACTTACTCAATTCCAGCTACTGCAGGTAGCTTCTCGGCACATCTTTCTCCATGTAGCGTAGAGAACTAGTGTTTACAGCAACATAGGTTTCTATTCACACTTGATGTCTACGCCTCTGCTGGTTCAAGAGGTTTTCATAGCATTTAGAGAAAAGTTGCTGCTGTAGAAAAGATGGCAGATAATGCAGTGACACTTGGTGCTGTGCAGAGTGCAGTGGTACATTACTTACAGTTCTTTATACAGTATACCAGAGGCAATAGTGGGGCAGCTGAGCACTTTTTGTTAAAGCAAATTTTGTTGGACAGACATTTAAAACTGAGGTTGGTCTTGCTGAACTCTGAATGTTTCATAGTCTTCTGGAATGGTATCTGAGGAGAAGGAAATTAAAACAAATATAGTTTAGAAGTAGAACTGGAAATGAAAAACAGAATGAACTACTGCATGATATCCTGTTACAGTTTTATGTGTAGGCTGTCCAAGAACAGATTAACTTCTTGAAAGCAAAATGGCAAAATTTCCTGTATTTGACCTTCAAAGCTAACTTACCGTTGCAGCGATAACGCAGGTTTGACCAAATAATGTTCTCCTGGGAGAAGCAGAAGACTCCGAGGCGTCCTCCTCGCATAGTTGTATCAAGGACAACTCCAGTGTCTGCCACTACTTCAGGGCCTTCATAGAAGCGAGCTCTGGAAGAGAATAAGCACATGTAGGACATGTGAGCCTGATAAACACTTAGAGAATTTGTTCCAGTCAGACACTCTCCCTCCTTTTTACCAGAGAACTGTACTGGAGTTTTTTTTTAGTTTGTTAAACCCCCACTCAGCCATGCAAAGGAAAAATAATTTCCTTTGATAATTTAATATTTTCCTTTAATATAATTAACCCCCCTTACCTGATGTATCCGACTTGAGGCCGATGCTGCAGGAACCAGCGGTAAGATGTCTTGTCCTTCCAGCCGGAGTTGCGAGGGTCTTTCCACAGCAGTTTGACCTGGTCTGTGGTGTCCCCAGTGTGCCAGAGGGAATTGCGGAGGTACTCGCCTGGGCCTGTTTTGGACTTCACTGCCTAATGCAAAGAATAGACCGGTAAAAATGTGTGGATAAATAACTGATTGACTGTAACTGTTACCCCATGTATGTGTCCAAGCAGCACAGCTAAGAAAAAGGCAAAAATCCTCCGACTTCTTTTTCAATGCTGTCCTTACCTTCAGTTGAATTCCAGGTTCTGCTACTGCTCGGAAGGGGTTTGCCTGCCAGTATGTCTGTTCCATCTGTTTCCACATGACCACATAAAAGCTGGAACTGTCCTGGTAGCCAAATATGAAGCCAGCATAATCATCATCTGTGGCAGTGTTGACATGGAATGTGCCCTCAAAGTCAACGCCATTGAATGCTGTGTAACCTGTAATTATTAGAAAAGCAAATACTCTGTATTCTCGGGTAAAACATGGATCCATTTCTTTCCAAATTCAGATGGGAGAAGGTAGATTTTGCTAAGCTAAAGCTGAAGACTCAGCCTGCTACAAACAATATTTTCCCAGGAAGCGGATGGAATCATTAAGTAGTGTCTGAAATACTTCTAAAAGCTGCACTGAGAAGTGCACAGTAAATGACTGATAATTTTCCAATAGGATAAAAATAAGTGCCTCACCTACAGCCAGGCCAGGATCGCTGTTCATGGTTTGGACAATTTCCATGCCCTGTGAAAAGATGAATGTTGACTTATTAGTACGTTTCTCTCCAAAATTACTGACTGTACCCTTGTTGAATGAGCAGGGAGAGGTACACCAGAGGTGAATCTCTAGGGCTAAGGCTTTACTGAATACAAGCATTAGACCCACAATGTCTTTCAGTAAAAACTGCACCCAGATTTATAGGGGTTTGCTAGCCAGGTCTGGTATAGTCTCCTACCTGGTTGAGAACAATCCAGTTGGGATCGATCTGTGCATCACCCTCAGGGTCCAGTACAACTGTCTGGAAAGCCCTGAAGTCTGTTAATGTCACTTCTGCGTTCTCTGGGCACACATCAATTCTATCAATCACCATGTCTCTGTCAAAGTCTTCTTCACAAAGGTTTCCAACACCATCACCTGAGAGCACAACAGAAGAAAACAAGTTGCAAGCTTTCAATTTCTCCTAGCTGTTGCACCTAAGTTTTACTTGGCTAGCTTTTAGCAGGCATAGTCAGGTAACCATGACTATGCAAGGTTAAGAGGTGTTTAGAGCATTGCTGCACTTTTCCTATATGTTGGTTGTGAAGAAACCCTGACACTTTTCCTGCTGCTTCCAGGGATGCTGAGAGACCTTGTCCCAGATATGATCTTGTTGTCAGGATTATTGGAGATCTGAAAATGATGTGGGGCTGTCTCAAATCAGTACCGAGGAGGTCTTACTTTCTGCCTGTCTCCAAAAGCCAAACTCATGTAGTAGCCACCAGGAACGGAGGACCCCCCACGCAGAGCTAATGTGCATACGTTTCCCTTACCGTCTGAGTCTTCTTGGCCAGGGTTAGGGACAAGCCGACAGTTGTCAGGGCCTGGGGGTTTCTCATCTGGAATCCCATCATTATCGTCATCATCATCGCATTCATCTCCTAGCCCGTCATTGTCTGTGTCCACCTGGGAGCTGTTAGGCACTGAGGGGCAGTTATCCCGTGTATCTTGGTGGCCATCCCCATCGCTGGTGGAGAAAATGCATTATACAGATGAAAAAAACATCAGTGGCTAATCTTTAAATAAGCATGCCCTTTCTAGGAGCTGGGGTCCTCTACAAGAACAGCAGAAGTTGTTGATTTCAGCCTTTTAAAATCTCAAGCTATTAGTTACGCAAACAATAGATCAGAAATATTCCAGCTGTCGTCTGTGAGCAAATCTGTGAGTGACAGCTAATGAAAAGCAAGCCTGCTGTCAGCAAGCTTACATCTGCTAGCCTTTGGGCAATAGTTCCACTGGAAAGTTTTTTGAAGTCTGAAGAAAATTCCCCCTCCCTTGTCTGAATAAAAAGACACGG